TTGGGAATCGGATACGTTTGGATCCTGCAGCAGCCGGGAGCGGCCCCGGGGGGGTCCCTGGGGGTCCCCGGAGGGATCCCTGGGGCATCCCTGGGGGTCCCCGGGGGAATCCTTGGGGCATCCCTGGGGGTCCCCGGAGGGATCCCTGGAGCATCCCTGGGGGTCCCTGGGGCATCCCTGGGGGTCCCCGGGGGAATCTCGGGGGGATCCCTGGGGGTCCCCGGGGGGATCTCGGGGGGATCCCTGGGGGTCCCCGGGGGGATCTCGGGGGGATCTCCTGCCCCTTCCCTCGGGCACGGAGACAAATCCCATCCTCTGCTCGTCCCTCCCGCCCCGCTCAGGGAGGTGAAGACGGAGCCCGAGGAGGACAAACCCCCGCGGCAGAACCTTCTGGAAGAGCCCGCTGGGGGCGGCTCCAGCGCCCAGGGATGCGAGGAGGAGAAGCCCCCGAGGACGGGCTGCGAGTCCCGGGGGGAAGGAGCCACCCTGGAGCTCGGAGGGGTCCCGAGCTCGGAGCTGGGGCTCCAGCTGCTGCTCTTCGATAAGAAGAAGCCGCACAGGTGCGAGGAGTGCGGGAAGAGCTTCCGCAAGAAGCGTTACCTGAACCTCCACAGCAGAATCCACAGCGGGGAGAGACCCTTCAAGTGCGGGGAGTGCGGGAAGAGCTTCAGGGTGAGCTCCAACCTGACGGTGCACCTGCGGATCCACAGCGGGGAGAGGCCCTACGAGTGCGAGAAATGCCACAAGAGCTTCCAGAGGAGCTCCAGCCTCATCAGGCACAAGCGGATCCACACGGAGCAGAGACCTTTCCGCTGCCCCGAGTGCGGGAAGGGCTTCGGGAAGGACTCCACGCTCGTCGCCCACCTGAGGATCCACAGCGGGGAGAGACCCTTCAAGTGCGAGGAGTGCGGGAAGAGGTTCAGGGTGAACTCCAACCTGGTCACCCACCAGAGGAGCCACAACAGGGAGAGGCCCTACGAGTGTGAGAAATGCTCCAGGAGGTTCCAGAGCAGCTTCAGGCTCCTCCAGCACCAGCAGGTCCACACGGAGGAGAGACCCCACCGGTGCCCCGAGTGCGGGAAGGGCTTCAGGAAAAAATCCCAGCTCGTGGCCCACCGGCAAACCCACAGCGAGGAGAGACCCCACGAGTGCCCCGAGTGCGGGAAGGGCTTCAGGAAGATCCACGCGCTGGTGTCCCACCTGCGGATCCACACCGGGGAGAGGCCCTACGAGTGCGAGAAGTGCCGCAAGAGCTTCCAGAGCAGCTCGCACCTGCTGCGGCACCAGACCATCCACACGGGCGAGAGGCCCTTCCGCTGCCCCGACTGCGGGAAGCGCTTCAACCGCAACTCCAACCTGACGGCCCACCGGCGCATCCACAGCGGGGAGAGGCCCTTCAGGTGCGAGAAGTGCCCCAGGAGGTTCCGCACCAGCACCACGCTGCTGCGGCACCGCTGGATCCACGCGGGCGAGTGGCCCTTCCGCTGCCGCGACTGCGGGAAGGGATTCAGGAGCGGCGCCCACCTGGTGAGGCACCGCAGGATCCACAGCGGGGAGAAACCCTACGAGTGTCCCCAGTGCGGGAAGGGATTCGCGCAGAGCTCCAACATGAGCCGGCACCGGCGGAGCCACCAGGGAGGGGAGAGCTGCGGCCCCCGCCGGTGATCCACGGTGATCCACGGTGATCCACGGTGATCCACAGTGATCTGTGTTGGTTCCTGGTGGTCCCTGGTGATCCGTGGAGATCCATGAATGAGCCCCGCAGATGATCCCCAGTGATCCACGGTGATCCTGGGTGATTCCTGGTGATCCGTGGTGGTCCCTGGTGATCCCTGGTGGTCCCCAGTGATCCGTGGAGATCCGCGGATGAGCCCCACGGATGATCCCTGGTGATCCTGGGTGATCCATGGTGATTCCTGGTGATCTGTGGTGGTTCCTGGTGATCTGTTGTGGTCCCCAGTGATCCGTGGAGATCCATGGATGAGCCCCGCAGATGATCCCCAGTGATCCGCGGTGTTTCCTGGTGATCCTGGGTGATCCATGGTGATTCCCAGTGATCCCTGGTGATCCATGGAGATCCGCGGATGAGCCCCAGTGATCTGTGGTGATCCATGGTGATTCCCAGTGATCCGTGGTGATTCCCAGTGATCCCTGGTGATCCATGGAGATCCACGGATGAGCCCCATGGATGATCCCCAGTGATTCCTGCTGAGCCCTGGTGATCCCTGGTGACCCATGGTGATTCCCAGTGAGCCCCAGTGATCCGTGGAGATCCACGGATGATCCCTGGTGATTCCTGGTGATCCCTGGTGATTCCAGGTGATCCATGGAGATCCACGGATGAGCCCCGCGGATGATCCCCAGTGATCCGTGGTGATCCCTGGTGGTCCCCGGTGATCCCTGGTGAGCCCCAAATGATCCCCGGTGATCCCTGCCGGGAACGCTCCTGCCCGGGGGTCTCCGGCTCCCCGGGGTCTGCGTTTCCTCCCCGCTGCTCTTTGTGTTTCCAACACCGGGATGGCAATAAAGGCGTTGAATTTATTTGTTCATTTTTTATTGGGTTTTTATTTGGTTTCTTTATCTCCCGTGTTTGGGACAATCCCCGGACGTTCCTCCCCCCTCACCCCCCCCTTGTCCTTGGGGACTTTGGGGACCCCAAATATTCCCCTCCCCCAGTGGTCGGACCGGGACCGGACACCGGGAACACCCGGACCGGACACCGGGAACGGACACCGGGACCGGACACCGGGACCGGACACCGGGATC